ACCTCCTCATCCATGTGACTTGGTGACCTCCTCACCCATGGGACACATCCTCCTCATCCATGGGACACATGACCTCCTCCTTCATGTGACACATGACCTCCTCCTTCATGTGACACATGACCTCTTCATCCATGTGACACATGCCTCCTCATCCATGGGACACATGACCTCCTCCTTCATGTGACACATGACCTCCTCCTTCATGTGACACATGACCTCTTCATCCATGTGACACATGACCTCCTCATCCATGTGACATATGACCTCCTCATCCATGGGACACATGACTTCCTCCTTCATGTGACATATGACCTTCTCCTCCATGTGACATATGACCTCCTCATCCATGGGACACATGACCTCCTCATCCATGTGACTTGGTGACCTCCTCACCCATGGGACACATCCTCCTCATCCATGGGACACATGATCCTTCATGTGACATATGACCTTCTCCTCCATGTGACATATGACCTCCTCATCCATGGGACACATGACCTCCTCATCCATGTGACTTGGTGACCTCCTCACCCATGGGACACATCCTCCTCATCCATGGGACACATGACCTCCTCCTTCACGTGACATATGACCTCCTCAGCTCTCTTTGCTGGCTCTTTCTCAGCCTTTGGAGCCCACCCTAAAAGCAGCCTCTTACTTAGAGCTGGATAAGCATCTGCTGAATATTGAACGAATGAGCTCAGCTTCCCTCTGTCCCCTGTGCTGCTGTCCATCTCACCCACGCCGCCGCGCCAGTTTACTCACTGGAGCGCACGATCTGTCCATGTAAAGTGACTCAATATTTTTGCCTCATAGTCAGAATCATAGACTTGGACTGTACACAATGATGATTTAAATATATGTTTATTCATGAACATTTTCAAAGAACTCTAGTCTTAACATTTGTTGTGGTTGGAACGAAGAATATATTTTCCCATGAGAGTGAGAGGGTGAGAAAATGTGACCAGAGGTGGGAGAGCCCCTGAAACTGGATGGAGAGCCTTCGTCTTCTTTCTCCGTTTCTGCTTTCTTTGTATTCCTGTGTTAGTGTCTCCTTCCCTGGCATCTCATCCATTTTCTGTCTCACACTTTGTTGTTCCTATTCAGTCTTCCTTCCTGCTTCCCTCCTTCCTACTTTCTTTCTAAATCTCCTCCCTCCTTGACTCCTTCCCCTCCTTCTCCCGTCTTTATAAATCTCATCTTGCTCTTTCCCTTGCCTGTTGTTAATTTAAACCAGGCTTTACCTGGAGTGCCGCCATGGCCTGCTGTGTGGGAGCAGTTCTGTAGTTTTTGGAAGGACCGTAGAAGATGCCCGTGTCGACAAAAGCCCATTCTGAGGCAGCTCTGGAAATAGAACCAGAGTGTCCTCCTCATTCCTACTTTGTCAGTTTTTGTCTCCAGTTGATTAGTTGGTCTATGGATCTTAGAATTCTGAATATGAGGACAAACTTTTCTGTCTAGGTCTGTATCAAGAATTATGCTATGTGTATTGATTTCATGTTATTAAGGAAGAGAAAAAGTAGTGACCATTTGCTCTGGATTTCTTGTAAGTGTGTTAGAAGTGTCCATCAGTTTGAGTGCTGTGTCAAAGAAACCACGCTGGCTTTTCAACAACTTTCAAATGATCACTTATAAAGCCACAAAGAAATTCTTTTTTTTTTAAAAAAAATGAGTTCTATTTCATTTCAGATTCTTCCTGCTGCCCCTTTGTAAAGGGTGCAGTTCCTGCTCTTGGCATGTGGGATTTCCTGAGGGCTACTTTGCTCTAACCCAGTTGCAGTCTGATGAAAGTTAAATTGGACAGTATTACTTTTCATTATGAGCAGCTCCAAGCCATTTTCCCTGAGACATGATCAAAGGGAGGTGCCAACAACTTACTGAAATTACACTCTTACCTGGAAGGAGCCGCCAGGCAATGTTCTCATCGTGTGAGCAGTATATTGCTGAAAGTAACATGCATATCCTTTTGACTTACTTTGGGGGATTCGTTGACATAATTAGGAATTACGTAGTAATATGTGACACACTGTTGCAAAGATTGATTTCTTTAATAGTTTACTAAGCATTTTAGGGCCAAAATACTCATAGTCTTATGGAGCAAATAAAGCTAATACAGAAACCTTTATCAGAGTTGTCTCCAAGAACTTTAGAGACTTCTGATGAGCTAGAGAGTATAAAGATTGTCTAAATAACACAGAGTCACCTAGACGTTCAAAAATAGATGTGTAAAATGTGCTTTCAGAGGCTCAAAGGCATGCCTCTAATTCCAGGTGATATAATATTACTTATGTTCCTTGATTAGTTGTTCTACCAGGCCAGTGGTTCTTAACTGGAAACAATGTTCGAATTGCTTAGGGAGTCTTTTAAAAACATGCCTGCCAAAGGCCCATCCCAAACTATTGATTCCAAAGCACTTGTGTTGGAGCCTGGCAGTATGTCCTTGGAAAAAGCCCCTGCGAAATTATGAAGCTTCTGGTTTTAAAACTGGCTAAGGATCACTGCTCTTGACTCACTTTGGTGCAGTAGAAACAAAGAGTGTGCCATCTTTGTAATCTGGGAATCTAAGTGAGTGCCTGGTTTGTAAATGTGAGATCAGTCAATGTTCATTGAGGAAATGGAAGCAAATTATCTAGAAAACTATACCATGCATATTTTTAACTACCCATTCATTTGAATTACTACTGGCTAAGTAAATTTAATAGTTGAATAGAATTTTTAAAATAACCTTCAGAGGGAGGCCTCTTCTATGGAATTACATAGCATTTTGTGATCTAAATGCTTAGTAAGTAGGCAGGTGATATAGTTTTTAACAATAATTTAATATGAAACTGGAGAACAAAGCAAAGACACAAAAAGACACCTTTATAAATTCTGATATCTGATTTTACCTCCATTATTTTACGTGTAAAAATATCTTTTAGAATAAGAAATCTGGTAGCATCCCACCATTGTTCCAGGCTCCATTTTTCTATCATGGTTAATAATAAATTGATAAGCAACTATTTTTTTGTAAACTGGAATTTATGCATTCGAGTGATTGCTCTTTTTTTAAAGTCGACATGTTGGATGATAGGACATTTTGGAAAGTCCTCCCAGGGAATTATCTTTGCTGCTTTGGCCATATATGTACCCTTCTCTTGCCTTCCTACCAACCACTTCTCGAAGACTTGTCCCTTGCCATTAAGGAAGCTTCAGTAAAGGTGGGAAGATAAGAAAGCATCTGAGACAGAGAATAACCAGGGACCTGTACACGAGAGTGTGTACTCGGGCACAGGTGGACATGGCAGAGCTTGGAGTGGGGGTGGAATGTTGAGGAAAAGCTCAGGAGTAAGGTGAGGTGCGAGCTATAATGTTGGGAGAGGAGGGGTATTCCAGGCAACCGTTTACAGAGTTGGGGTGAGCCAGGCATGAGTGAAGGCAGCTGGGAGGTGGCATGAGGTGTCTCCAGAGTGCGGAGCCATGACAGAGGAAGTATAAAGCTCTAAAGAGGAAGTGCCTTCGCTGGAGCCATGCTTTCCTTCTGTCCCAAAGCCAATGAATGATCAAGTTTTCAGTAGGAAATCTTAGGAAGAAAGCAATTGGCTCTCTGTGGGTGTAAAATACCACTGCTTGTGAGACCTCCAGTACCTGTCTTTGCTGAGGCACCAAGAGACATTTGTCTCCTGATTACAAACTGAAGTTGAAGGGTGTCTCCTCTGCACTGTGACTTGCTTTAACATCCATCATAACTTTAAAACTTGTGGATTGAATTAAATCTTATATTGCTGTTTCGAATCTGTCATCTGCCTATTAAAAACAACCCTGGCAGTAATGTAATACTTGACACTTTGCAGATTCCTGATCTCTGGGTGCTCCTCAGGCCATGAGGAGGAGGGTGACCATTTTGTCCCATTATTTGAAACAGTCTCACTTTATGCCTGTGTGCACTTGCAATCATAAAAGCACTCCCATTTTTATTGGAAAAGAGTCCTAGTTTGGGGGATAAATTCTATGGTCACCCTATTTTGCGATTATTTTCTTTCCTTCCCTAACACAAGAGAAAATTGGGGCTCAGAGAGGCATGGATGTCTAGAATCACTTTCCCCACCTTGTCTTAAGCACCTTTTATGGGGAAAGCAGGAGTCTGTCTCCTGGATAATAGATATGTTAATTATAGGTTGTTCATTTAGAAATGAAAAAATATACATAAATAAATGAGTATTCTTGTTAGAAAAAAGAGACACTCTCTTAGTGAAATAATTATATTATTGATGCAAGATATGGTATTATTTCTTCATTTCAGTTGGAGGCTATGTTTTGTTCCACATTTATTGTTACTTCCTACGTACAAGTAGCTGCCCTAGTTGCAAGATCATTTGGTGATAAATATGACACATTGGTGATAGTTCAATCAATCTTCAACTATGATTGGCCCTGTTTTATTAGATGGTTAAATCATATAACTTAATTGATACCGTGCAGTCAGACTGATGATGAAGTATGCTATTTATTAGTAAGCCCATCATTGAATGTGTTTCTGTCCTGCTTACCCACCTGTCAGGACACTGAGAGCCACTCAGGCAGGCTGGTACGGGGGGTGGCCTTGGGAGATATTTAGTGCTTGTCACTATCCAAAGCAGCCAGGGGGAGGAGGAGTCAGGAGGGGTGAGCAGGTGGCCCCCTGGGAGAAGATGGGCTCAAAACCAGTAAATTCTAGGATGCTAACGCGGGGATGGAATTGAGAGACAAAATGGCTGCCAGAAGACATGGGCAGGAACAGAACAGCAGCATCTAACGCGATGGCCGAGGGCCTGGTCTTCTCTTCCTTGGGCCTTAGATATTTCTCATGACGCCTGGCCTTTGGCCACTAGTCACATGCTTTCTTTCTTTGCCTAATATTACATTGTGTTTTGTTCATCAGACTTGAATGCTGCAGAAAATAAACTCATAGTCTTGTAGAAAGAATTTTGGTAAAGTTTTACTTTATATTTCCTATTGTCTCCCCCCGCCCTTTTTTTTAGGTTTTGTGAATGATTCTGTTACTAAATCTATTGTGGCTTTGCGCCTAACTCTGGTGGTGAAGGTCAGCACCTGTGTGCCGGGGGAGAGCCATGCAAATGACATGGAGTGTTCTGGAAAAGGAAAATGTACCACAAAGCCATCAGAGGTAAGGGACACCTGGGAGCTTTTAAAAGCTATATTTACGTAAATATGTATCTCTATCTGTATATCAATACCTATCTATATCTATGCCTATCAAGAATGAAAGGGGATAGAACAAGTGCATTTGCTGATAAAGCCCTTCAAATTTCTGGTTTCAATTAGACATCAGTGTGCAGCATATGGACACCCAATTTCTGTATAACTTTTAAAATAATGATAATAAGTCTGTGCAGTGCGAGATTTTGCTTTGGTGTAAAGTAGAGATGCTTTGAGAGAAAATAGTCATTCTATCTGGTGGTGGCGGAATCAAGATCAATGTCCGACAGAAAAGGTAAGCGGAGGGCTTCATTTCCCCGTCATTACATCATCCTCTCCTCAGACTTTGCGTTTCCCTTGTGCTGATAACAGAGTTAGAGAAGCAAGAGGGAAGCATGAGAAGGAACGGAGAAGAGGCTGGGTCGAGAAGGCTGTCATTACTTTTGACCTCTGCGGACCAGCGTCATCAGTGCTATGGCGGGCCCAAGTCCTGTGCCCCTTCTTCTTTAGGGCTCAGGTCACATGAGCCTGGGGCAGGGGCAGGGACAGGGTAAGCTCCTCCTCCTTGTTCTCTGCTGAGTGACAGAAGTCTGAGAGGCAGACCAGTACGGGACTCGGGCCACTGAGACCCACTCCCCCCGGTAGAGGGCTCCATTAAAACAGCTTTTGCAGGTGGACTTGGGCTCCACCCAGCATCCCAGGAGAGGGAGACTCACCCGTTACGAGGGGGCCTGTTCCGTTAGGGCACAGGCCTCCTTGACCCTCTCCCTGTTCTGCACATTTGTCCACTGGAGTTTGTGCAAAGCGAAGTGGGTCCCCCAAGTCCCAAAAGAGCATAGTTTGTTTCAGAAAAATTTTTTTAAAAATTTTATTTATTTATTTGAGAGAGAGAGAGACAGCACACAGGAGCAGGGACAGAGAGAGAGGGAGAAGCAAACTCCCCTGCTGAGCAGGAAGCCCGACATAGGGCTTGGTCCCAGAACCCCGAGATCATGACTTGAGCCAAAGGCAGATGCTTAACTGACTGAGCCACCCAGGTGCCCCAGTTTTAGACCAATCTTAAGGGTAGCGCAGGTGAGCTTTCTTTGGTGAAGCTTCCTTATGGTAATGTTGGTGCCTCCGGTTATAGTGGTGTGAACTTGGTGCAGTGGGGAGGGGGACAACGGTCAGAGAGGTTTTGGAAGATGCTTTCAAGCATTGCTCGGGTCATCTTGGAAAGCCCATGATTTTGATGTGTTAAGTGTACAATTTGCAGTGGGGTAAATATACCATTTTCTGGTGAGATATCCTCTGCAGGGGGCAAAATGCCCGAAGAGAGTCGTGGAACAAGAATTTCTGCTAAATCTTTGAAAAGGAACATGAATGTCAACCAAAGCCAGAATGAAACCCCCAGGGCAGGGGATGGTGCCTGGATTAAGCCAGAGGCAGAGCCTGGGACTTCTTTTACCAAGCCAAGCCTGTCCTGTGAATATGGTTTTCTTCCAGCTTGGCCAACTTGGACAATTTTCTCTCTTTCCTGAGGGAAAGCTTCATTTATCAATTTACTTTATGGGGCAAAAAGAAGTAAAGAATATTGAGTGTTCTGCTGTGACAGTCAAGGCTGAGGAGGGTATAGAACCTGAGAGAAGATGTGGAAGCAGTGGGGGAGCTCATTTGATAAGGATGTTCCCAAAGAGAGGAAGCATGCAAGCCCGAGGAAAGACAACCATCCCAGCTGGAAGAACATCAGACCTTCCGAGTGTGAAGAGGAGACACACTGGTGTTCCCCAAATTCATCCTTATTATTCCCAGTGAACACTTCTGGGGCTTGATTAGCTCTGAGAAAGACAAGAGTGGTGGAAGAGAAATTGCTGAAACGAGGAAGGGAGGGCTGTTCTTGGAATTTGGGACTGACACTGTGGTTGTTTCCTTGCGTGCTTTCTCTTACAATGGATGACCCATCTGGGGAAACTTTTTAGCCATACAGCAGTCACCATGATTTGTTTGTTTGTTTTTAAAGTTTTATTTATTTATTTGGCAGAGAGAGACACAGCGAGAGGGGGAACACAAGCAGGGGGAGTGGGAGAGGGAGAAGCAGGCTTCCCGCTGGGCAGGGAGCCTGACGCGGGGCTCGATCCCAGGACCCCGGGACCATGACCCGAGCCGAAGGCAGACGCCTAACAACTGAGCCACCCAGGCACCCCCACCATGTTTTCTTAAAACATGCACGTCGCTGGCTTACACCCCTCCTTTGCATGGGTGTCATCTGCATGGCAACTCTTGCTAAGAGGCTCTGCCTGGTGGTATAGAATTAACTTATTGAAAAGGCAGTTGAAGCATTTAGCACCTGGCAGGTAACTTGGCAAACCTTGCCAAAGTGCTTTGTTTTTCGTGCAAAAAGGACTCAAAAGCCTTCCTGAAGAATCCATGCTAAATTTAGCAGGTCATTTTGGAGGAGGTACAGCTTCATTGTGGGTACCAGCTCTTTTGAAGAGCTCTGAGTGCCCCACCACCCCCTTTCCCCCAACCCCCAGGTGTGCAAAGCCTCTGTTGTTGCTTCTCTCAAAGACTGCATTTACTTTTAGTGAACTGAAGGAAATTGTGGCCAGTCGTCTTAACCTGAGCCACTCTAATTATCCCCAGTGATGCTAAGCAAATGACTAGGCTGGAATTACCACGTCCATTTATAGACCCGCAACATTGTTATCTTGGAGAGAACCATCTGGAAGCCAGTCTTCCCATTCACAAAAACATGGCAGGAGTTGCACTACCTGTGGCAGGATTAGGAATGAAAAGTTGGCTCATCTTTTTGAGTCTACGTGACTTCCCGGGGCTTTTTGTGATGGTTACCATGGTTGTCGTGGTGACTTGAAAATAGTTTGCTGGCCATAGAAGACTGTTGCTATCAGGTTCCTTCTTTGTACGGTTTCCTAAACTTAGAAGTTATATAGTCCAGTCTTCCACCCAATGCAAGAATCCACTGCGTAGTACAAAACAAAAAGAACTCTACTTGGTGGTTTAATGTGATTGTTTCTAATCACTTTTATATCTTTTCATTAGATCATCTGTCAAAATAAGAGCAATTCTTGATTCCCATACTACTCTCATGTGGTAGTGGAGCTTTTTTCTGGCAGGTGTACTTTGGCCAGAGGCGATTTCACAATTCCAGGCTGATGGGTGGTCTGCATTAAAGCTCTAGCTTGCCACCCTTAGATAGCACTCCATCCTCAGAAAGTCTTTTTTTTTTTTTTTTTAAGATTTCTTTATTTATTTTAGAGAGAACAAGAGACAGAGCATGTGCAAGTGGGGGAGGGCAGAAGGAGACAGAGAGAGAGGGAGGGAGAGAAGCAGACTCCCCACCGAGCGTGGAGTTTGATGTGGGGCTCGATCCCATGACCCTGAGATCTTGACCTGAGCTAAAATCAAGAGTTGGCGGCTAAACCTCCTGAGCCATCCAGTCTTTTTATATGTTTACTGTAACACGGTAAGGAGCTCTCTGTTTTTGAAAACTGCTTTTGTTACAAGGGTTGATTCTGATCTTTTCTTCTTATAAAAAAAATTGACTGTGGTCACTACTTCTCTTTGAACTCTGTCACCAAGTTTGGCTGCTGTCTATTTGGTAATTCCCTAAATATATTAAAGGTAAGTGTCAGGGCTCTTCACTGGCATGGGCCTTAAGCCTTTTTAGATCCACTTAGGTTCCATGGACCCCATCTCTCAAGTGCAAGGGTTGTATATTAGGATTCTCAGAGGAACAGAATATATATATATATATATATGTATATGTATATATATATATATATATATCTCCTATCCTATCCTATCTTCTATATATGAATTAAGGAGATTTATTTTAAGGAATCAGCTCACTGTAACTCCACTCATTGTGGAGTCTTGGTGAATCCGAAATCTGACTGGGAGGACAGTGAGTTGGAGACTCAGGAAAGAGATGCAGCTCTGGTGCAAAGGGGTCTGCTGGTGAACCAGGAAGAGCTGATGTTGGCGATGAAGTCTGCAGGCCGTCTGCTGCAGAGTTCTCTCTTGCTCAGGGGAGGTCAGCTTCTCATTCTAGTCAGGCCTTCAACTGATTGGATGAGGCCCACCCTCTCTATGGGGGGAAACTGCTTCCCTCAAAGTCCACCGATTTAAATGTAAGTCTCATCCAAAAACACCCTCACAGAAACATCCGGAATGTTGTTTGACCAAGTATCTAGGCACCATGGCTCAGCCAAGTTGACACATAAAATTAATCATCACAAGATTCTATTTTTTCACTGTTGCCTCCTTTCTGCCCAATTGCGTTCCTTGCCCACAAAATTAAAGGAATAGTTTTAAAGTTTTAGTTTGCCTAAAATTTGCGTGAGGCACTGACAAAAAGGTCATATTCCAAGCCCCTCACTCAGATTATGATGCCTTTCATTGGCCAGCCAGGTGATTTGGTGAAAGTAGATTATGGAATATCATTTTGGAAGTAGAGTCTCAGGAGCAGAGCTTACCATCTCCCTACTTTTGCTGATTCCCTAAAGCAAATATACAACATCTTTTTATTCAAGGATTTCATTGTTCATAATGCTAAGGTCATGTGGAATTAATAAAGAGAAATGCTGATAGGTGATATAATGGCTCAATACTTATCTCAAAGCTTTCCTGTGTGTTGGCCCTGGTCTGTATTGATAAGTAAGTGGGGTCAGGTTTCCATTCTTAGGAGGTTTCTTAGGATTCTCTCTAGCTCTTGCATTGGGAATCTATCATCCTGAGGCTGTTTGAATTGGATACTGGAGCTACCTACTCAGACTTTTGAGAGAGAAATGATTTGCCATCACGTCTGAGAGCCATTCCCAAGCCCTTCTGGAGGCTGTGTCTTAATTCTGTCTCCAGATGTGGGCCTGTCCATGAGAAAAGCACTAGCATGTTGGGCTCCTGAAAGTTCCCGACCTTCTGTTATCTCCCTCCCTACTCTTGGAAGTCGAAGGCTCAAGCTCCAGGAAG